TGAGAATCTGTTTTGGCTGCTTGCAGATGGAGGGATGGCCTCCTGTGCGCATGTTCACCTCCGACTGCCTGGGCTAGCCTGGCACTTACTACCTTCTGCCTTGGGTCTTTTTATGAACGTGTCTGCTTTTTCCATTAGTGTGTGTATTCCTAGAGGGTAGGAGCTGGGACTTACGTGCCTCTGACCCCAACTGTGAATCTTAGCACAGTGCTGAACCAGTGGTGACAATAGATGCTAATTAATGGGTGCCTGACTGACTCTCTCCTCAGTTGCTATGTCTACCACAGGGGACAAGATTCTAGATACTGCACTCTCTAAGGTAATGGCCGTCCCCATTCCTGCCCTTCCAGTCCCTCTCCCCACTTCTTCCCCAAGAGGGTCACTCTGAGGCTCTTTTTGGCAGATTGGAGAGAAAAGCTTGTTTACCAAGGAGCTAGAATACGCCCTGGAGAAAAATGAGTAAGTGAGAATGGGAGAGCATGGCACTCCTCCGGTTTCTTGCTAGAACCCCAAAGTGGCCTCCCAATATTAGCAGGACTGTTGGGTTAGGCGTTAAGCCTAAGGCGCTCATAGGCTTCCACAAAGGAGAGCGTCTTGTTTGGGAGCCCCCTAACTGCCTAGAATATGAGACTGGCTGGGGAAATGGGGTAGCAGTTGAGAGGACAGCAGACCTCAAGGTCCTTAGGTCTTAGGATGGCCTCTTCTGAAGAGCTGTAGTCAAAGCTCGGTGGGTGGAGAAGGGTAAGGTCAACTCCTCAAAGCCGCTCTCTGTGTCCTCCCCTCTCGTCTCTAGAGTGGACCTGGTTGTTCATTCCCTGAAGGATGTGCCCACTATACTACCTCCTGGCTTTACCATTGGAGCCATCTGCAAGTAGGAGTTATGCATTGGAGGGGTCTGGGGAGGGGCTTAACCCCAATGGGAGTCTTTGGCTTTTCCCCTTTGGGACTTTGCCACGTAGCCCTCTGCTGTGAAGGTTGTCCGTCATTAAGCATGGCAGAAAACTGGAAAAGCCAATTGGTTGGCTAGTTAGAGTGCCTGGAGTTGGGCTCAGTGGCACAGGCCTATAATCCCAGCCACTAGGGATAGCTAAATTAGGAGGATCAGAGGTTCACTGCCTGCCTGGGCTAGAGTCATTTCAACCAGCCTGAGAACGCAGTGAGATTGTGTCTCAAGGTGTGGGGTGCAAGAAGGCTAGTTTACGATGGCTTAGCTGGTAAAGACATTTGCTTCCAAGCCTGATGACTGAATTTAATCCCTGGGGTCCACATGGGGGAAGGGGAAAATAGAAGCCCTAAGTTGTCATCTGTCTGACACACACATGCCATGGCATTCGTACTCTTCCACCCTATAAATAAAAATTAAAACAATCAGCCGGGCATTGGTGGTGCATGCCTTTTTTTTTTTTTTTTTTTTTTTTTTTTTTTTTTTTTTGGTTTTTCGAGACAGGGTTTCTCTGTGTAGCTTTGTGCCTTTCCTGGAACTTACTTTGTAGACTAAGCTGGCCTGGAACTCACAGAGATCCACCTGCCTCTGCCTCCTGAGTGCTGGGATTAAAGGCTCCCAGGCGGATCTCTGTGAGTTCCAGGCCAGCCTTGTCTACAGAGCGAGATCCAGGACAGGCACCAAAACTACATGGAGAAACCCTGTTTCAAAAAACAAAAAACAAAAACAAAACAACCCAAAATAAATTAATTAATTAATTAATTAAACAATCAAGAAAGAAAGCAAAACACAAAACCTTTTAAAAAGAAAATAAAGACAGGCCTGGTGGCTCACACCTATAATCTCAGCATTCAGGAGTCTGATACAGGAGGATTATTGTGAATTTGAGGCTACCCTAGGGGTACATAGTAAATTTTTGGGCTAGAGTTAAACCCTGTTTCCAAATAATAATTTTATTTCATCATTTGCTCTCCAGACGGGAAAACCCTTGTGATGCTGTTGTCTTTCACCCAAAATTTATTGGAAAGACCCTAGAAACCTTGCCAGAGAAGAGGTGAGTGGGGCCTGGTGTGCAGAAGACAGAGGGATGGGCAGTGGAGAACGGTGGGCAGCTCTTGTTAAATTGTATTCCACACTCTCTCTCTGAGCAGCGCCGTGGGAACCAGCTCCCTGAGGAGAGTGGCCCAGCTACAGAGAAAGTTCCCACACCTGGAATTCAAGAGCATTGTATCCTTCACAAGAGAAGGTCTAGAGTACTCCTGAGGGTCCTGAGTCTAGAAGGACCTTCCAAAGCAAGTGGTCCTGGGGGGCAGTGGGTTATCTGTCTTTCCACCCATCCATCCATCCATCTATCCATCCATCCATAGTTCTTCAATGTTTTCTTAAACTCTGGCAGGTGCCTGGCCACGAGGATAATTATAAAATACTCTTCCTGCTTATATAGTCAACATGTTAGTTAGAGAGACAGACAGGCATTGACAATACAAGTGATACTGATCAGTAATTACTTCTGGGTGGCCGGGGTGGAAGGTGCTCCTATTTTTATTTTTTATGCTACTAAATGGTTTTGATTTTTACAGTGACTATGTGGTGTGTTTCATAAAACTAATTTTAAAAACAGTATGTCCTGGGGCTGGAGAGATGGCTCAGTGGTTAAAAGCACTGGTTGCTTTTCCAGAGGACCCTGGTTCAACTCCCAGCACTCACATGGTGGCTCACAACTTTCTCTTACTTCAGCTCTAGGGGATCTGATGCCCTCTTCTGGCTTCTGCAGACATACATGCATGCAAAACACCCATACATATAAAACTAAAATAGTATGTTCCAGTCAGATGTGGTGGCATATGCCTTTAATCCCAGCACTCTGGAGGCAGAGGCAGGCAGATCTCCATGAGATCAAGGCCACCCTGGTCTATAAAGTAAGTCCCAGTCCAGCCCCACAACACTGTGAGATCCTGTCCCAAAAGTCTTTAAAAGTCAGCTGAAGGGGAAAAGAGACTGTGGAACAGAAGGCGCACTGTGTGAGTCCTGATTTCTCCTTAGCATGTCTCCACAGCGGGGAAACCTCAACACCCGGCTACGGAAGCTCGATGAGCAGCAGGAGTTCAGTGCCGTTATCCTGGCTGTAGCAGGCCTACAGCGCATGGGCTGGCAGAACCGGGTGGGGCAGGTAGGGGCTGCCCCTTCCATTCCATTTAATCTGCCTTTCTCTCCTGACTTTTACCTTCGTGACCATTCTGCCAGTAACACTAACAAGCCAGAAGTAAGCCCAGGCTAGATTAGAGGCCAGATCATGCTTGTACCTCCCTCAGGCTTCCCAATTGGCAAACCCTAGCTCACTGCTTTTGGACACCCCACCATTCTGTCTGTTTTGCCTTCACAGATCTTGCACCCAGAGGAATGCATGTATGCTGTGGGTCAGGTAAGTTTGCCTGGAGAGAGCTTTGTTCATGTGCCCCTTCAAGAACCTGGGTTCATAGCCTTTGACATCTTCTCCCCACCAAATACAATGCTCAGGGAGGGGTGGGCTTTGGCAAGCAGAAGACCCTGGGAAGCAGTAGAAGAGGGGTGGTTTCCATGTTCAGCTCCATGGCTGGAGAAAGAGCAGGCCCGGTTTTCCTTTAGGGAGCCCTAGCGGTGGAAGTGCGAGCCAAGGACCAGGATATCTTGGAACTTGTCAGTGTGTTGCATGATCCTGAGACTCTGCTTCGCTGCATTGCTGAAAGGGCCTTTCTGAGGCACCTGGTAAGACTTGGGGTCCTCCCATGGTGGTGTGAGGACTTGGGGAATCAGGAAGGGCAGTAGGAGGTTTCTCAGGTAAGTGCTCTGTAATGTAATGGTAACTCAGAGTTGTGGAGAGAGGACCTTGGTCTGCCCCAGCAGCCCTTTCAGTTCATGTCCTTAGAGCTCAAGGGACTTGTCATTGCAGGAAGGAGGCTGTAGCGTGCCAGTAGCAGTGCATACAGTGATGAGCGATGGGCAAGTAAGCAGGGAGAATGGATGGGGTGTGTGTGTGGCATTTCTGTGTGCACCCAAACGTCTAAGCAACTTTCTCTGAATATGTGGTACAACCCATTCTATTTCCTAGCTGTACCTGACTGGAGGAGTCTGGAGTCTAGACGGCTCAGATAGCATGCAAGAGACCATGCAGACTACCATCCAGGTCCCTTTTCAGGTATTTATTGACTGGGAGATGGAGGAATAAACACAAGTACTTATAACCTTCCCTCTCACCAAATTTTAACTCCTTCCGTCATCCAGCATGAAGATGGTCCAGAGGATGACCCGCAGCTGGTTGGAATCACTGCCCGGAACATTCCAAGAGGAGCCCAGCTAGCTGCTGAAAACCTGGGCATCAGCCTGGCCAGCTTGTTGCTGAACAAAGGAGCCAAGAACATTCTGGATGTTGCACGGCAGCTTAATGATGCGCACTAACTGGTCTATAGGGTACAGGCACCCCGGCTGCCTCTTTCCAGTGCCTACATCTAGCTTCCAAGTGCCCTGTGCTCCCTAACTTTGGGGGGTGACTATCCCAGGAGATTGAACCACAGGGTGTTGAGACTTCCAGAGACATGCCTCACCTTGGGGCTTTGATGACTGCCTTTCCTCGTCAGTAGTTGGGGCTTCATCTCTTAGAAAAAGTCCATGCCAATCTTTGAATATAACCAATGCCACTAATAATTAAACCAGCTCTGAATGTGGTTGTTGTTTTGGTGGAGTTGGGGGAAGATATAAACCCAAAGTCCTTTAAACCTGAATTTTGAATCTGGGACTTCTCTGTTGTAAAAACAAACAAATAAAAACCTTTGACTACTTCATGTTATCAAAATATATCCAAGGAAGTACCAAGGAAACAGAGAAAACAGCCTGCCTGTCTCCAGTAGCAGGAGCTACTTGTATTAGACTTCCCATTCCCACTGCCCAAAGAAAGTAAGGGAACTTACCCTATAGTCCCACTTTCCACCACAACATGGCTAGAGCCAGGCACACGGCTCTACCACGCAACCATATAACCCCAGCCCCGGGCCTACAGCAATTCAAAATTAAAACAAGACACTCCATTTTTAAAAAACCAAACAATCCTTTAATAAAATTAGCCCATCGAAACTCCCCACTACCTAAGGTTCTAAACTTGGGATAGCTGCAAAATTCCAGTTCAGAAGCCAACAGAGGCTCAGTCCAGAGAGGGATTCACCGACTTGTGCTGGTATCTAGGTGTTTGGGTTGAGTTGAGTCGCTGGGGAGAAAAAGGGATGGCGAGGCCCGGCTGCCAGTCTCCTGCGGCAGGAACACAGCTCTTCTGTCCACAGGCCTGTAAGCTTCTCCCAAACCCTTTCCAGGAGGCATCCTGGGGAAAATCGGTTCGTAATACAGTGATTTTTGTCCCGGCCACACCACACACCGGCCTAATGAATGAAGATGGGGGAAACTGGTTTGAGAGGCCAGCAAGGGGGATATACAGGACCAAACCATATGATCCACTTCTCTTCTTCACCAAAGCCTGGTAATCAAGTCACTTGGGGAAGGTCCAGGCGAGGGCTAAGCACCAAGCTGAAGAAAAGACGCCCAGGTTGCAGCTGCGGAGGGACTCACCTTCAGGCCCACCTCGGCCGTACGTCACAGCAAAAAGACGAGACTTCTGGAAGGTGTCGCAGCCTCTCCGCGCGGCCCATCGAAGGCGGAGATCGGCGAAGCTCCGGGATGGATGGGCAGGTGCGGCGGCGCCCGCGTCCTCCGTGGCTGACCCGGAGGCCGTGCAGGGGCAAAGGGAGGCAGAAACGCGCGAGGGCAGAAGAAACAGGGGAGAGAACGGGGACGAGGCGGCCCGGCCCGCGGCCCTAAGTGGCTCAGCTCTTTCTGTGAGGGAAGTGGTGGCCCTGAAAAGGGCCTTTGTGGAGGTGTGGGGAGGGCTGGGCGGCCACGGCGCGGCTCCCTTAGTACTCCTGCGAGGCCTGGGTGGCCTTCTTGCCGCCCGCCGGCGCCTTGGGCCCCACGGTGGCGCTGGTCTTCTTGGGCAGCAGCACGGCCTGGATGTTGGGCAGGACGCCGCCCTGCGCGATCGTCACGCCGCCCAGGAGCTTGTTGAGCTCCTCGTCGTTGCGGATGGCCAGCTGCAGGTGGCGCGGGATGATGCGCGTCTTCTTGTTGTCCCGGGCCGCGTTGCCCGCCAGCTCCAGGATCTCGGCCGTCAGGTACTCGAGCACGGCCGCCAGGTAGACCGGGGCGCCTGCGCCCACGCGCTCGGCATAGTGGCCCTTCCGCAGCAGCCGGTGCACGCGGCCTACCGGGAACTGCAGGCCGGCGCGCGATGAGCGCGACTTGGCCTTGGCGCGGGCCTTGCCTCCGGTCTTGCCGCGACCCGACATCGTGTACGAGGTAGAAGGGCAGAGAGAGAGAAAGAGCGAACGCCGACGAAGCAGACCAACTGCCAACCGCCGCAGTCAACTGTCGCCGCGCGCGGGCGAGCTCGCCCTTATAAACTCACTGGACACGCCCCCGCGCCCGCCTGATTGGCTCTTTTCCTTCACACCGGCCTCTGGTTGGTTACAATTAACCCTTCGGTGACGCGCCTAGGCGGAGAGAGCTCGCCCAGCGATTGGTCCAATTTGAAAACCTTTTACCCGGGGAAGAAAGCAAGGCGGAGTAGCCGCGAGCAGGAGGCTAATCACCCGTGCGAGTGGCCAATCCGTATTAAGCGCGCGAAATTTAAACGCTACTGAGCGCACCCAGAACCGGAAGACAAGGAGGGAGGAGTCTGGAGCCACCTCTACGGTCTCTGGGAAATCTGGGCCGGCCTAGGGTTTTAAAGGAAAAGGGTCAGCTGGGCGCTGGTGCTGCACGCCTTTAATCCCAGCGTTCAGGAGACAGAGGCAAGTGGATCTCAGTTCAAGGTCAGCCTGGTAACAGAGTGAGTTCCAGGACAGCTAGGGCTACACGGGAAAACCCTGTCTCGGGTTTTCTCCTCCCAGGGCAGGGCATTCCCACTCCCTCCTCAAATCTGGCAAAGGGAGGGTTTAAAGGAGAAAAAAAGTGAGGCTGGGCGTGGTGGTGCACGCCTTTAATCCCAGCGCTCTGAGGCAGAGGCGGTCTCTGAGGTCAAGGCCAGTCTGGTCTACAAAGTGAGTAGTGAGTTCCAGTACAGCTAGGGCTGTTAAACAGAGAAACCTTGTCTCAGAAAAAAAAGAGAGAGAGAGAGAGAGAGAGAGAGAGAGAGAGAGAGAGAGAGAGAGAGAGAAGAAATAAAACCTGAGAGTTCAGTTCTATGTCGGAAAACTGAGCGTTGTGATCCTTTGTTTTACCACAAGTTAGTATTTTAATATTTATTCAACATGTTCTGTCTGGTTTCAGTTCTGTCACTTCTTGCAGGAAAGGGTCTGATGGGGCAGAGGTAGGCATCCTATTGGAAAAGGTACCCACCCCAATCCTTCCAACTGATCCTAAAATACCCATATGAAAAATAAATATATCAGGCTGGGGATATAGTTCAGTGGTAGAGCACTTAAGTACAAGGAAGCCCTGAGTTCAATCCTCAAGCACCTCAAAGGTTAGGAGAAAAAAAAGAGGGAGAGGAGTGGATACACCTACAGGAGCAAGTAAAAGACAACCCTTTATTGTCACCATTTTGAGCACATGGCCCTGCCTCTGCTCTTCCTAATCAGAACACTTAATTTTAAAGTCAAATGTGAGGTTACCTCAGAGTATAGGGCCCTAACTCTAGCCCTAGCTCAGGTTCTCTCTCAGGGTCCAGCAAATTCCTGTAGAATCAGGGCTCTGAAAGTTGAGCTGTGAATATTTGCATAAAAGCTGCTACATCTCCCCTTACGAGGCTGCAGATAGGACAGAAAGGGAGAGGGTAGCAAGCTAAAGAAATCCATAGGCAAAGTCCAACCAATGGACTTTAAATCCAATAAGGTCCAGGTCAATATCCACAGGTGATGGGAGAAGCTGAAAACAAAACTGAAAAATGAACAGTCAGAGTCTGGACCAGAAGGCAGTCTTGGACCAAACAGAGGCTGGTCCTGAGTGAGGTCCAATGGAGACCAATGGAGACCATGTGGTAAAGGACAATCTTCAGGGAACTCAGACATCATAGAAGAGTCGGACAAGCTGGTAACGGATGGAGAAGGTCACGGCACTGCTCAGGATCTGGAAGGAGAAATGGACTGGAATAAGAACCCAGGTAAAATAGAGACAAGAAAATGTACGTAATTACCCCACCCTCAATTGTACCTGCAATAGCAGCAAGAGCAGTGTGAGGTTTCTCTCGTGTATGGGCCCAAAGACTTTAAGCAGCAAGTTGATGAGGGTCATGTTGTTACATTCAGTGAAGGCACCATCCTCACCCTCACCTCGGTGGACTGTCACTAGCCGGAGGCTCTCTGCTACCTGGAGGGGCCGGATGTGAAGACAACTTCTGATACACACATTTCATCAACAGGGAATCTTCTTGATGCTTCCAAACTCCCCTTGGGTCTGAGAAGGCCTAGGTTTCCCCTGTCCCAAGTTAAGGATGGTGGCCTGGGGCCTTACCTACTTGTTACCTTGTTACCTTTAAAATAAAGGTGCCCAAGAAAGAGAGGCTCTTGGTCTTGAACTTGGAATAGCTCATCTCTAGTTTGCCTGTCTTCGTATTGAGTCTGTAAAGGGAAGATGATTTCATGTGATTGAATCACTACTCAGAGAACTTTCCACCCTGGGTTACTGAGCAGAGTACTGAGTACTTAAGCACTGGGGTTTGTTTCTGGCTCAGTTGCTTACATCTGGGTGATAGAAACTGTTGTAAGCATTACACATTATGTAAGTAAATGGGCTTTGTAAATTAGAATGGGCTACCCACATACACTTCTCCCTTCTCTTCCCTCCTCTTCTTACACAGGAAATGTGGAGGCTGGCTTTACCCACCCAAAATGAAAAGCTGTAATGACCCTTTGAAGCCCCGGAATGGCTACCTGGGTATACGGTGTCTCGGGCAGGGGATGATGTGAAAGAGCTGAGGCAGTGAGTAGAGGAAATTGAATACTTGTGGCATAAAGAAGAGTAGCATGGTCTTGCTGAAGTGTCCCAAGATTCCCACCACGGCAAAGGTCATGCCGGCAAAATAACAGAAGGTATCTCCCACAAACACCTGTGACGGGTACCTGTATGGGAGAGAGGAGCTGAGCCGAGGGCAAGAGTCACCACTGACCCTTTCTTTCACATCACACTCTCAGCAACAGGCTAGTCCTGACCCTGAGTTCTAGGAGCAAGGCTGTTCCAGAAACTCTGCAGGACCCAAGGCCCCAAATTCATCCATTCCTGGGGGCTCCATAACATTTGTTCCCAACTACTGCAGGTAGACAGCAACCCATAATAAGTACCAGGCTGGGGTGTGGCTTAGTGATAAAGTAGTCACCTAGCAAGCACAAGGTCATAAATTCAATCCCTAGCACTATGGTGTATGTGTGGTGGGGTGAGGGGTGGTATCTAATTGCACACGCTTGTAATTCCAGCTGTTATTGAAGGCAGGAATTCAGTCTTGACCAACACAATAAGTTCAGTGCCAACCTGGGTAACTTAAGTGAGAGCGTGCGCGCACACGCGCGCGCGCGCGCGCACACACACACACACACACACACACACACACACACACACACACACGCCACCCCAATCTCAAAAGAAAAACTAAAGGGCTGGGGATACAGCTAAGTAGTAGTGCTTGTCTAGCATTTTTAAGACCCCCAGATTCACTCCCCTGTACCATAAATACACAAATGCTCGTGCTCACACACAGAACAACAGGAATGGCAAACCACTACCAACGGAAGACCCAGGAATACCCAACAAAGATAGGCACAATTTTAGTCTCTTCATGAGAAGCCAGGTTATGACTATCCCTCCCACATATCTCTTATCCATAGGCCTACTTACCAGTTATGGTACAGCAATCCCAAGGTGGTAAAAAAAAATGGTATCATGAAGTATAGGGAAAAGACATGATCATCCCGATAATCACCTTTGGAGCAGAGTAAAAAGGAAGAAGTTAGAACCCACATTCCCTATGCACCTTGGTCTTATCTGTGTCTAATTTATGTTCCCAGCCATTAGGAACACCTCACCCAAGTCACTTTCAAGACCAACGCTTCCCCCACCCTGACCCCCACTGGTCTACAACTTCCCATGTAGCCAAGTCTGGCCTCCACCTCCCACGCACCGGGATTACAGGTATTTGCCACCATCCCCAGCTCTAACTTCCCCTTTCACATCACCCAGGCAATTCCCAATACTCTAGCACTTTCGCTGAGGCTTCCAAAAAGGCTAGTGACTGTCTTAAATGTGAAAGTCCAGTTGGGGTTTGAACACCAGTTTTACTTCCTAGCTGTGTGAATTTGAATATGACACACTGAATTTCTCTAAGCTTCCATTTTCTCATCTGTCAAACTGGATAAAGCAAGTTCCACAAAGTCATCGTCCGATTTAAAGGAGATAATGCTTTAAAAGTGCTTGGCTTTAGCTGGGGGCAGGGAAGGTACACATGCCTTTAAACTCAGCACTTGGATCTCTGTGAGTTCCAGGGCTACACGGTACAGCCATGTCTCAAAACAAAACCAAGTGCTTAGTTTTAATAAGCACTTGTTGATGTCCATCAACTAAAGACAACCAGAAATATCTAATAGTCAAACCTGGGTTTACTTAGAAACTAAGACTTCTGTAACCACAAACCACAGGGAACCATAAAACATATCACTCAAAGGAGTACTGAGGAGCTTGTTTTAGGATTTGTTTTGGGTAATTTGGGAGAGGAAAAAGGAAGTAGAGATGCACTGTGAATTGGGAGCTCTCAGAAGGCATGAGTAATTTTTTGTTATTGTTGTGGGGTTTTTTTTGTTTTTTTTTTTTTTTTTTTGGTTTTTCAAGACATTGAGACAGGGTTTCTCTGTGTAGCTTTGTGCCTTTCCTGGAACTCACTTGGTAGCCCAGGCTGGTCTCGAACTCCCAGAGATCCGCCTGCCTCTGCCTCCCGAGTGCTGGGATTAAAGGCGTGCGCCACCACCACCCGGCTGTTGTTTTGTTTTTTGAGATGGAGTTTCTCTGTGTAGCTCTGGAACCTGTCCTGGAACTCACTCTGTAGACCAGGCTGGCCTTGAACTCACAGAGATCAGCCTGCCTCTGCCTCCTGAGTGGGCATGAGTAATTTTTAATATATATTTTTTCAATCTAAGAAGTAGGAGGAAGTCAGGTGTAGTGCACATGCCTGTAATCCCAGCGCCTGGGAGCCAGGTGTAGTGGCACATACCTATAATTCAAGTGCTCAGGAGACAGATAAAGATGACCATGGGTTTGAGGCCAGCCAGGGTTACATTAGCAAGACTATCTCAAAATAACAAAACAAAAAAAGTGGGAAGAACTGAATTGTTATTGGAAAAAAGCTGTACCCTCTCATGTTAGCTGAAAGAGGATCCTGGTCATTTTTATGTTTCTCAGTCAGTGTTCTGGCTTGCCTGTACTCAGGCATAGCTATGAAGGGAGGAGTCTTTGTTTTTGTCTGTGTGTGTGTGTGTGTGTGTGTGTGTGTGTGTGTGTGTGTGTGTCTTTTTCCACTGTGGTCAGAAGGTGAGTGACCCTTTCTGATGCTGGGGTTCTGTGCAGCTGTTTATCTCCAATAGAAATCATTGGTCTAGGCACGCCAATCAAGCTATAGATGGCAGCACTGCTGTTCCTCCTCATGTTTAACTCCCTGCTGGTGTTTGCAAGGTAAATAGCTTCCATTCTAAAACCGCTTTTGTGTTTGCCCTTCCCCTGGGAATTCTCTAAATCCACACCAGGCAATTCCCTTAACAGGCAGGCATCTCTTTCCCCGTCTCCAGTCCCACCTACCTCCCAGCTCCACTAGGTTGAAGACGATGATGGAAGCAGAGATGACTAGTGACTGACCAGCCTCTAGGCCATTGATTCCCGCTAGGATGTTGATGGCATTGGTACAGAACACCGCAAGCAGTCCCATGTAGACATAGTACAGGATCCCTGGGGACACAGAATCAGAGTTAGAGCTACCTAGGGAAGTAGGATTTGGATTTTTTTTTGAGAACAGAGGGCAGGATGAATGAAAGGATCTGAATAGGCAAGGCCTAGTAGCACAGGTCTATAATTCCAGCTACTTGGAAGGCTGGGACAGGAGGATTACCAGTTTAAGGCCTGCTTGGGCTAAGTAAGTTCAAAGCAACTTAGTGAGTGACCATGTTTTGAAAATTTTAAAGACATGTATTTTATGTATATGGGTACTTTGTCTGCGTGTACATCTGCTCACCAGAAGAAGGCATCAGACAGTAATGAGCTGCCATGTGGGTGCTGGGAATTGAACTCAGGACCTTTGGAAGAACAGTGAGTGCTCTAAACCACTGAGCCATCTCCCCAGTCCCCCTAATTTGAAATTTTTAGAAAATGGAAAAAATAGAAAGGAAAAGCTTTGGTATAGCTCAGAGTGCTTGCCTGG